CTTCTCCCCCTGTCAATACTTCTCCCCCTGTCAATACTTCTCCCCCTGTTAGTACTTCTCCCCTTGTCAACACTTCGCCCGGTTCCTAATATGGCTGAACTGGCAGAACTGCCATCAGTGTTGCCTTCCCCCCGGTGGTAATCCGCGTACGACTCTGAGTCGTCCGTCCCTCGACTGCTGTCCGTGCTGCCCTGGTCGTTGCTGCCAAAGGGCGGTGCGCTCGTTTTCCACTTAGCCCTTTTATTCTTCCTGCCCATCCAGTGCTGCACATCATCTGTCAGCACATTCGTGGCGTATTCCTCCTCTGGGTGGTTCAAACGGCTTGTCTTCCCATAACTCATGGAAACATTCGCGTTCCGTTTGGTTCTGTTGCATTTGTAGTTGTAATCATTCCCTGTGTGCTTACCCTCCTGTGCCTCCTCTTCTTTGCACTGCCTCTTCCCCCATCCGACGACTGTTCCTCCCACTTGACATTTTGCATAATCAAATATAAGGATGGGAATGTTTGACATGACGGAAAGGGCTTTTAACTCCCGGACGAGGTAGAAATATGTGTTGGAGTTATGAACACTTAGATGCTTCAACAGGTTCGTCAAATTGTCTATTGCTATGCATGCCACATTGGCTAGCTGGCTTGTAAGTGGGTTCTTTTGATCCCCTTTGTCTGGGCTGCTCCCTCTTCTTACATTTGCCAAAAAGGAGACAAGCTCTCCCCAATTTCGGACCCGAAAAATGAATAACCTGTTAAGGATGTCCTCCAACGAATGCTTCTTTTTTCTCCCCCTTTTGATTTTTTCTTTTAAAATGTTTTCAATGACTGTAACGTCGTTAATGTAGCTGAAGTGTATGAACACTGCGACTGCAGTGGAGTTGCTCCCAGTGAGGAAGTCAAACAACAAATTAAGCGAAATGACTTTGTTCATTTTTGTTTTCTTCCCATAGAAGAAGTATATTTTGGACCCTTGGAGACCGTTTCCGAGGAGCCTATTCAGTGCGTGAGTGTTTGTTTTGATAGAGGTCACCTCGGTTAGAGATGCCTTCATGTAATTGGAGTAGGCCAGGAAGTCCTTCTCCAATCCTTTCGGAGATTTGCAGCTAGCTATACGAACTGGGATATTATTCTTTGTGAGGTTCCCTGAAGCGGCCACTGAACTGTTGTTTCTCTTTAGGTACGTCCACGGGTTGATACCCTTCAGAATGGAGTATTTTCTCCTTCCGGGGGGAGAAGTCGGTAGGACGGGTCTATGACCCGTGGTAGACATAGACATAGATGTCGATGTTGACGCTGACCCTGATGGGGAAGATGAAGACGACTCGACCGAGTCGCTCATTGAATCGACCAACGCGTCGCCAATCGCGTCTCCCCCATCGTTTATGTTAGCATCCGTTTCAGCATCCGTGTCAGCATGACTCCCACCGTAGCAATAATTTTCCTGGTCGCTCACGGGGTGGTCGTAACCACGGAGGGGGTCTCTCAAGCAGTCCGCTCGGCCTTCTTCCCCCCCGTCATTTGGCACTCCCAAGTCGCGCAAGTGGTAACTAAACAGCTCATTCTGTCCTGCAATGACCTCCTGCAATTTAGAAGAAGCGGATTTTTATGTGCCGACGGGGACGTATGAATATCGTGGGGTATGGCTATAGCGAGGTATGCACGTATCGCTATCGGCCGCACATCTTTAGGGTGAACTCATAAAAGATTTCCAACCTCCACGTCCACGTCCTCCAGATAATTTGTGCTTAATTGCTCAACTGCGGGGGGAAGAGGAGAAAGGCATGGCTGGGTGGGCCTCCACTACATAATGTATATGGACGGTGGGGACATGCCAGAGTAGACGCATATACAGATAAATATATACACATATATACAGCCGTGTGAAATGCGTGCTTCCTACGAGGGGTCACTGATTCTGCGAAGGGACGTACTTACTCGTATTTATGTTGAAGGCATACAACTTTCTCTTAATTCTTTCCGGGAGATTTAAATACTCTATGTCGGGCTTCTCCATCGTTCCGGACATGTTCGTTCAGGCGTTAGGGATGGCCCAAGGGAGGTGAACATTTTTTTTTTCGGATTGTATAAACCGCGGGCAAGCGAAATGGATGAAGAGGAATACTATTTGGCGCTGTTTCGAAGAATGGGGGGAAGGGTCAAGATAGATAGCGAAGTGTGGGCAACGGAAGCGAAGCACTAACGTTTCCCTACTGAACCGATTACCATATCGGGACCTGCAAAAGGGCAGGCAAATGAAAAGGCTGGTGTGATCAGAACGCAACGCACGCGGAGAAGTAGCAATGCATGCATAAGCTTACAAGCATGTGTGAAATTAACACCTCATCATGCAGAACATTTGCAAACTGAGTTGGGATGTGGACCTCATTACGACTTCAACCTTGGAGTGCACCTCGCCCTCTTGACGTGCGTGTGTTGCATGGCTAGGTATGTACATACTGGCTAGGAAAAGCAGCCTTTTTTTTTTCTTTTTTTTTTTTTTTTTTCTTCCTCCCAAGGGCATCACAATTGACACTTCATCGCCGCTATCCCTTTCCATACCAACGAGCGAAATTTTTACATTTTTTGAACAGGGGGAGGGATTTACTCCGATTTGCTCACATTTACTACAACGTGCTAGGGGTTGTATTTTTCCTTTTTCTCACAAATACGTGATGGAAGGAAGGACGGATCAGGCCGGTTAGCCATTATGCATGTACGCCCCTTTTCTCTCCACGTTGCGCACATGGCAATAACACCCCCTTTTTGAACGACTTAAAGTAAGTGTCTCCTTCCAAAAGGGTTGTATGCCTTTTCGCGTCGAAGGGTGGGGGGGGCTCTGCACACGGCGCGCCATATGCATGCACACAGAGCCCGGCTGTGCGTGTAAATTGGCCTTAGGAATGGATAATTGGACAACACAAGAAAGAGAGTAACCATGGAGTTGTCCATAGACGCATTGAAGGAGAAGGTCAGTTCATTGGATCACACCACATTGGTGTTTCCCGAAAGGGGCCTCCACATACATATATACATGTACGTATATACAACGGGAACTGCACCGCATGATTCACTTCATCACCTTGTCCCCTCTTCCATCTCGCAGTTCCTAAACATGAATAGTGACATCGAGCTCATCGAGAGAAAGCTGAAAGACGAAATGTGCAAAATGTACGAAGATGACATCAACCCATTCCTAATTCTTAACGATTTTGAAACTATAAAAAGTGAGCTCCAAAGAATTAACAAAGAATTAAACGTCCTGTATGAACGGAAAAAAATGACCATACAATACATGCATAGGCAAATGCAAAATTATAACTTTTTGCTAAACTTGGAAAATAATTTAAACATCACTTCCAAGGAGTTTATAAATTATCATAACTCGGAAATTATTCTGAATAATTTTTTTTACGACAATATAAAGAAGTTTTTGTTGAACATAAATTACGACGAAATTAACGAGTTGCTACAGCTGGACCATATGCAGAAATGTGTGGACAACAAAGGGGAACAAACAAGTGGAAACAACTTAAGCGATTTAGGGAAGGAAGCACCCAACGGGAAACCTGCCCCTGTCCCGTGTGATTCGGCCAATTATAAAAATTACGTAAGTAATATCGATTTGAAGGACAACGAAAAAAGGGAGATTCTGAATAACGGAAACGTCACAGAGGATAGCAGAAACGAACAGGTGAACAAAGGAAATGCCACCAATAAGGAGAGCTTGTTTTGCCCCATCGACGACGCTACCTTCCAGTCCGTCCCCCCGCTGATTCGACGGCGGGCCAAGTTGGACGACATTAACCTGATATACAAGTCGCTGTACGACATGGCCATAAAGAAGGGCAGGTGAGTGTCAGTGTGAGTCTTAGTGCGCGTTTGGAATGTGCCCCTTTGGGAATTCACGAATTTGCCAATTTGCACACCGTGCAAACCCCGTTCAGACAGCTTCACACGCTTGCTCCTCCCCTCGCAGCTGCCTCCCCGTGGAAAAGTCCGAGCTGACTCAGATGAATCTGCAGGTCTTTGGACAGACAGGTTGGTCCATCCTGCGAGACGAGACTGTTTTTTTCTATTCATTGCAGTTGTTCGGCATTTTATTATTTTATTATATTTTATTTTTATTTTTTTTTTCCTCCGTTTCGCCTGAACTGTTAATATTTTTTATCCCCTTTTTCCGCCAATTTTTTTCTCACCAGGAGAAGCCAAAATAGCTACCTTGCGATATCTGAAAATTATAGAAGTTATTAACAAGTAATGGAAAAAAAAAATTAGCTAGCATAGAATTTGCGTCATTTTTTCGTCACTTGATCTTTTTGTGTCCCCCCGTTTGCACACACCACCTGTTTTGCTCTGCACAGGGGTTTCACCAAATTGGTGCCATGCGCAACCTTACGCTTTCCACATTTTTCACGTTTTCTCTTTTTCCCCCTTTTGTTCCCCTTTGCTGGCACCATTCAGAACCGGCTCCGTGAAATTGCTCAACTGCGCGGGGCTGAAAAAAAAAAAGAAGAGAAAAACCTGCCAGGCGAGGTAAAAAAAGGAAAAAAAAAGGGAAGAAATACGCAAAAAAAAGGAAAAAAAAAGAGGACGAAGAGGAACCTCCCACTTTGCTGCTCCATGGTCGTGTAGAATAAAGGACGCCATCATGAAAAATCCAAGTAACCGAATGGATGCTCTCCTAGAATGCAACTAGGTTGCGATGGGAGGGGATACTCGAATGGAAGGAGTCCTAGAGCTATCCGAACCTGGGATATCTGTTCGTTGTTCATTTGTGCCGCGTTTCCAAGGAGGCAGAGTTTAGTCCCTCCCGCTTTTTCTCCATTTTGACGTGGGACATTCCCTTCCGCATTACATGTGTAAGCGTTGACTTCTTTTTTCGCGGAGTCGAAGGGAACTCAGTGGCTCCCTCCCACGTCTCCAACCTTACACGCGATGAAGCTAGCGTGCCTGCAGGTTGAAGGAACAATCGTGCACATATATATATACATATACATATGTACATATATATTTGCCCATGCGCACGTGCAAAGATGCGCGCTCGGTCCCTTCCGCCCTTTTTGCCAAACTTTTTAAAAGGAACACAACCATTTTAAAATTTTTTCGTGGAACGCGTTGCCTGCGCTAATCACCTGCCTGCATTGCAGAAATGGTATGTTTATTTTCGCTGCTGCTTTTCACCCTACTGAGAGATAACAAAACGCATGCGAAGAGGAATACACACAGGTTGAGCGCGGCGCCGTTCATACAGTTCCCGGGCGGGGGAGTTGCCCAAGGGAAGGCAAAGCACCGCTGGGCAGGCAGGGGAAGCGGCGGTGGGGGCAGCCGCTGTAGCAAGACGAGGGGGACGTCCTCCAACTCGTTGGCGCGGTCGATAGGGGATAAACATGAAAACTCCGCACTGGGGGAGGAGAGCGCGTCAGATAGTGCATCCGATAGCACTGCAGACAGCGCGGCGGATGGGATGATCCCAAGTGACCCCTCTGCGAAGGGAATGAAAAGTGTTAAGAATGACGAGTTGTGCATGGATGCTGCCCAAAGCGTGGGTGTTTACCTCGAAGGCGTGGGAACCCGTTTAGAAGAGCCCTCCCCCAAAGGGAAACAAATCCACAAAAGCAAGAGCGGAAGAAGGTACAGGAGAAGGGAGGGGCTCCCTCCCCGAGTGGACCACATCAAAGATATTAAGAAGCATGTGAAGCTATTCTTTTTCAAAAAAAGAATAATCTTCCTAACGGAGGAAATAAATAAAAAAACGACCGACGAGATGATCAGCCAGTTGTTATACTTGGATAACCTCAACCATGACGACATCAAAATTTATATAAATTCCCCAGGCGGGTCCATAAATGAGGGACTAGCCATTTTGGACATCTTCAATTACATCAAGTCAGACATACAGACAATATCTTTTGGCCTAGTAGCATCTATGGCTTCTGTAATTTTAGCTAGCGGGAAAAAAGGGAAGAGAAAATCTCTACCCAATTGCAGAATCATGATTCATCAACCTCTGGGCAATGCATTTGGCCAACCACAGGATATAGAGATACAGACGAAAGAGATTCTTTACCTGAAGAAGCTTCTGTATAATTATTTGTCCACTTTTACTAACCAGACAACTGAGACGATTGAGAAAGACTCAGACAGGGACCACTACATGAATGCGCTGGAGGCGAAGAGGTACGGACTTATTGATGAGATCATTGAGACGAAGCTGCCGCACCCATATTTTCACGAAGCTGTGGGGGAGTCAAGCAGTGGCGGATCGGAAGAGGGATAAGCTATAGTACCTTCTTGTCTCCTCCCCTGCTTAGCGTCCCCACAGCAGGGGTAAAAATGTGCACCCATTTAATTACACCTGTTTTTGTTTTTTTTCCTTCTTTTTGTTGATGTTAATTTTTTCGTTTTTGTAAAATAGTTTGAACATACGTAGGTGCTTCATTTAAAAAAAGAAAAAAAAAAAAAAACAAAGGTGTACCATGCGAGGGGCGAAACGGGGGCTCCTTTATGATACATAAAAAGGGCGCACATAGGAAGCGAATTAATAACGTAGGGTAGCAAGGAAGGTGCGAGTGCGGGGGGTACAAGGGGCTGAACGGGCGAAGCGTTCACGTGGGCGATCATTTGGAAATGCGGCTACTTCGAAGTGGTCGCTCTTCGAAGTAGCGACTTCACTGGAAAAAATGGAAAAAAAAAAAATTGTCAAATGGGGGTGTAGCACTGCGGGAAGGGCATTGTTGAGTAAATACCCATTTGGGGCGAAACAACTTGGAGCGTCAATCAAGGAGACAATGTTGTTGAAGTTATGGAAAGGCGAAGGGGTAAGACTTGGAGGCACAAGTTTAAAGTGCAATTATATCGCACAGTTTGGGTAGGGAACACTCGTTTTTTTTTTTTATTTGTCTGTTTGTTTTTTTGTTTGCTTCCTTCCTCGTTTGCACAAATGGGAGGTGTAAATTTGTATGGAAGACAATTGGGGTCGGTTACTTCCCGGGTGAATCACCTTTTTCACTGTTTGGTACAGTTCGGGCGGCTCGCTGCTACACGGTGGTACCTCTACCCCCCTAGGAGCAGTACGTGGGAAGGTCCATCGAACCCTGGTTGTTGTACTGCCCCGCGTACTGCTCCATCTCGCCGTTCTGTATGGAGTCGGTCTGCTCGGGGAAGTCGTGCGCGTTGTAACGGTCATGGGCGGGTGACAGGGGGGCTTCATTATCAGTCTCGAGGTAGGCTTCTCCAGAGTGGGCCGCCTCCACCTCCTTTGGGTCCACTTCGCTGGGTCCCACCCCATCCGCTTCGGCCTTGCCCCCAAGGGAGATAGTCTGGTGGAAGTACGTATTCTGGCGCGCATAGATGATGTGCTGTATGTCGGTCACCAACAAAGCGTCGTCATCCGTCTGATTGCAGAGCAGCTCAAGAAACCTCAACTTGTTGTAGTAGAAATTTTTTTGGAAAAGTAAAAGTTTTTTTTCATTTTCCTGAGTTTTTAATTTATTTTGTAATGAGACAATTTCGCTGTTTTTTTTTTCCAACTGTATTTTGAACTTTCTGTTTTGTTCGTTCAGGGAGAGGGCATCCTTCTGGTTGTCCACGTGCGGGTTATTTTTGTTGGGGTGGTAATACGTCGAGGAGGAGAGTGAGCCTCGCGAGGAGAGCTTTGCTGAGACGGAGAGGCGCTTATTTGTGGCGGTGGACGTGGGGAGGTGATTTCCCAGGTGAGTCCCTGTGGGGGTTATCCCCTGATGCGTTGCCCCACTGGGGTGCCTCTTAGAAGAGTGGATCTCCTTGCACGGAAGGGAAGTCAAGTTGTTCTCCCCTGTCGTGGTTAGCCATGCGGACCGTTTCTCCGTCTTCATAGGCTTTCTCCCGGCATGAGAGTGACACAGATTAGCACCACTGCTGTTGTTACTGGAGGACGTGGCGGCACGGATGGCGACACTGGAAGTGATGTTGTCCTGATTGACACTGGATCTGTAGTCATTGTTCCGTTTGGGGCCATTAGAACAAGTCCTATTTTCGTTCTGCATCACTTTCTCTTTCCCAATATGTATCTCTACCTTGGCCCAATCGGGCAAATAGCTATTTAGTAACTTGTAATCTCCCCTGTCTCCAAGGATGCACATTTTACGACGCTCCAGGGGGTCATAGTTCATTACGTTCTCATTATTATAGTCAATGATGCGCTCAAAAAAAGCTTTAAACCACTGGAGGAATTCTAAATTGTCTTGATATTTCCCCCTAATTAGTTTATCTATATCCATATGTTTTTTAATCCCGAGTTTGTTGAAAACATTTTGAATGAGTTTGTAGTTTGTTATGCACTCGTATTCTAGTTTGGCATTCCACTTCACTTTGTGGAGGACTGACTTGTTGGGGAAGAGAATGTCTAGGAGCTGTGTGTAGATGGCTCCGTTGGAGCATTGCTCGATTTTTGTTACGTTCAGCTTTAGCGTCCTGTTGACCCACTCGATTAGCTCCTTTCGGCTCACGAAGAACGCCGAGTCCATCATGCCCAGGGAGGACGCCTCTCTGCTGTCGCTCATGTTGGCCTGTCCGTCAGTTGAGCAGGTTTGCGGTTTGTGACTTCCCGGTTTGGAGCTTCCCGGTTTGGAGCTTCCCGGTTTGGAGCTTCCCGGTTTGGAGCTTCCCCGCTTAACCCCCAAACCTGCGCGCAGGCACGTCCCTGTCCTTATATTCCTTATGAACCTGTCTACACAGCACAATTAGTGGTACAAGTAAACCGTTTGGCGCGTTCCCGACTTTTTTTTTTTTTTTTTGGCAACTAGCTTTTTTTCATGTTCAAAACAGAGGACCTGCTCAACCGTGGCGCGATTGAAGCACAAATAAATCGCAAACAAACCGCAAATACCTGCTAGACAAAGTGCGATTTGGATAGACGACCGCTAAACGGATCAATCGGCGAAGTGCCTCATTTTTCTTTTTTTCCCCTCGCGGAATATGCCTCTTTTGCCCTCAAAAAAAGGGAAATTCAAAAACGCATCGCCATTTCGCCGCGCGCATGTGTGCAGATAAATACTCCCATTTTGGAAAAAAAAAAAAAAAAAAAAAAGTCAGGCGAAAAAAAAAAAAATATCCCTTTGACTAGCCTTTTTTTATACCCCTATCAAACTGAAAATTCTGACATAGACAGGTAAAAATGGGAAGAAAAAAAAAGAAAGGTCTGGTAAAAGGTGAAAACGTTTCGAATGGCCAGTAAGCAGAAGACAATAACGCTGTTTGCGAAGTTTAAACATCTGGGGATTGCTATAGTGACATCTATCTACTTTAATTGGTACTCTACGGATGGCATTTATTCTGCATAAATTAGAAATGATTTCTGCTCTCCCAACGCATCATTTTGACGAGTTCACTTCACCTTCTCGTTCGTGCAGTGTGCCCCGATGTGAAAAGTGGGCAGCGCAAAAGACCAGAAGGGGAGGTTAAACATGTTGATATGTTGATAACATCTGTGCCATCGTCACGTGAAGATGCACTAAAGAGTCAATTTTTTCGCATTTTTTCTCTTCACCTCCTTGTTGAGAAAGGTGTAGAACCATGTGAATCGCAAAAAATAATCGACCACACCGCTGCGTAATTTTTACCTCTTCAAGGATGAAAAGAACGTGGGGTGTAATAAACCACAGCGCCGATTTCTGCAAAGGCGCATGCAGCGTGAGCTTGGGGAAGCGTTTTTGTCTGCCCCGAAATTTGCGAAAAAAAGAAGCCTTAACAGAAGTGCAAATATATTTGCAGCGGAATACCTTTTCACTAACATTCTGCTTGCACTCCTGTTTTGCCAAAATGCGCGAGAGTTGGTGGGGGGAGGACTTTTGTTAAGGGAACCATTTAAATGGAGGGGATTCCACTGGGAAAGCACCACTTAGGAGAATTGTGATGCCTGCCGTTTTGGCAACTTATGCGAAATTTTTAATGTGTTGTGATAAAAGCCGCTTATATTTTTCCTTCAAATTTTAAGATTTAACAAAACAGTGCGGTGTAAAATGCAGTTTGAAAAAGGAGTGATGGGAAAAAAAATAAAAAAAAATAAACAGATTTGATCACCTGCTTTTCGCATTAGTATATACATTTAGGGGGTTTCATAAGAGCAGAAAAGGAAAAACTTCCCGGTTGCAGTAAAGCAGCAAAGGAACAAAGCAGCAGTGTCGGAGAAATGGAAAAAAAAGCCCGTGCCGCCACATTTAGGGCGTTTCCTGTCCCGGTGGAGGTTTTCTCACAAGTATAGGGGTCATTCAAGCGGAAGGCGCATAAAATGAGTACAAGATTGTTTGCATTTATGTGATAATTGCATGTAGTATTTTCTCGTATGTATGCCGACAGGTTGGATCGTTTACTATTGGCTCACCGCTTAGCAGCGTCATTGAACAGTTTAGTTTGCTCCCCCTCCGTCGTACGACGTGCGCAATGGGTGAGGGCGCCCCCCAATGCAACCTCTCCCTTATATTTTGCCCCACCCAATCCAAGAGCATATAAAACAATAACACACTGTGAGATGTAATAGCAAATGACCCGTTGAATGGTCGATTTTTCAATGTGATAATTTTTTTTTTTTTTTCTTACATTTTTCCAACCTCCTCAAACCATTCGGCAACGCTCTGTAGAGTTTATTTTTTTTTTTACGGCACTGCGATCATTGTCGTATGCACTTGGGGGTGATTCGTGGGTCCCGTTGTTCTCAACTAGGAAGGGTACAAAAAGGCGCACAGCACATGCCTAAAACAAAGCAGAACTCACGTGGGTTAAAAAAAAAAAACTTCCCCTTCCCCTCGAATGTCCTGGGAGCGCATAAAAACTACTGCACTGCCGAGAGTGACCAATCCTAGGGGACTCTTCCCACAATGCGCCAAAACGATATTGTAAAAAAAGAAATATGAGGGGAATTTTTAACTGAGTAAAATAGAAGTTGCACTGAGGAGCGGGCAGGCATACATATAATACTATTATAGTATACTTTCGCATCACTCAAAACGACCCCAACGAAAAAGCGAAAAACTGTCATGGGGAATGCAGCAATGCAGCGTATCCTTTTATCATCCCTTTTTCGTGACGACGACTTGCGCTTTTCCCCTTCCGCGAAAACTCTCTGTTGTGTAAGCCCGTTCCTCACCCAGCTTCTTCAGGCAACATGGATCATTTTTTTGCAATTTTTTTATCGCCTCATTTTTAGCAATTTTTTTGCCTTTTTTTTGCGCTTCTTTTTAGCGTTTTTTTTTTTAATTTTTAACATTTCTTTTTAATGTTTTTTTTATTTGTTGCCCCCATTTAAACTTCAATTTTGAAGAGTTCCCTGAAATTGAGAAGTCACTTTTCAAGGAAAGGAACTGCTGCGCCTTTGTAAAAAAAAAGAAAGAAGCGATTATCTGTAGTTGTGAATTGCGAAGCTGCGGCCTTTTTGTCAAACGCGACAAAACGGGAAACTCGCATTCTGCGATACAGGCTACACGGCATATAGTCATCCCTGAGAAAGGATAAAAAAAAAAAAATCATTTTGCTTTTTCGCGTAAGCAATACGGAAGAAGGAACCTAATACCAACCATGGCGGTAAGGGAGAGGGCGCCACATGAGTTGATTGATACAGATGATACAGTTCGGTGTGTCATGTCGTGTAGCACATTGGCTCACGCGACTTGCGTTTGCGTGAATGTATGTTTAACATGCGCCGTCGGGGGTGCGCTGCCTACACGTGATTGACATGATTGACGTGATTGAACCGCCGACCGATCATACGAATCGGCTTGCCGCTTTCTCCCCTCCCCCCCCATAGGATAGGTACGAGGAAGAGAAAAAAGATGCCGGGAAGAATATGATGAGCTTGAGGAAGAAGAAGCTGAAGAAGTACCTCCAGCTGAAGGAGAAGAATCAGAAGAAGATGAAGGCACAGAAGCTGGTAAGTTTGGGTTGCACCCGGGGGAGTGGCGTCGTGTCGTAGAGCAGCGTTTCACCTGTGTTTCGACACGTGGGTCTACGTCTGCCTCTGCGTGTACTGTGTGGTTTGTTCGTTCTATCTACATTGTTGCATTAGTACACTCGGCACACTTATCCCATTTTGCGATTACCCTTCCCCACACAGATCAACAAGAAAAAGCGAACCGAACTGCGACTACGCACACTTCGATACGAGAAGGAGTACGAAGAGGAACGGAAAAAAATCGTGCAACTTAAAAGAGAGGCAAGGAAAAATAACTGCTTCTACAGAGAGGCGGAAAAGAAGGTCGTTTTTGTGATCAGACTAAAGGGAGTAAATAAACTGTCCCCAAAGGTGCGAAGCGTCTTTCGCCTTCTAAGGCTTCTTCAAATACATAACGGAGTCTTCGTGAAGGTAAACAAGGCTACCAAGGAAATGCTAAAAATTGTGGAGCCATTCGTTACCTACGGTTACCCCACCATTTCCACCATCCGAAAGTTGGTGTACAAAAGAGGTTACATCAAGGTGGGAAAAGTAAGAAAGTATGCTAGGAAAAAAATTCAAGACAATCAGGAGATTTCGAAACATCTGGGAAAATACAATGTCCATGGTGTTGAAGACATGATTCACCAACTTTATACCTGCGGGCCTGCTTTTAAAAAAGTGAATAATTTTCTGTGGGCCTTTAAGCTGAAGCCCCCCAAGAAGGGTTTCAAGGCCAAGCGACACGCGTTCAATGAGCCCAGGCCAGGTGATTGGGGAAACAGGGAGAGTCACATAAATGAGCTAATCAAGCGGATGATCTAGTGGGGCGAAGCGAAGTAATGAGGTGAAGTCGTTAGTGCCGCGCTTGAGAATGCCCATTCTGCACGCCCTTCCCTTCGTTTAAACAGCCCAGGGGAGAAGAATGCGCACGCGGAAGGTGCCCCTACCCCCAACCCGCACGAACTGCGGCCCCGTTAGTGTGTAACTTCCCCATTCATCTTGTGCATATATTGCTATGGTATTAACTTTTTTTTTTTTTTTCATTTTTTTCAACTTGCCCAAAAAAAAAATTAAGATAGCAATGTACATACGCATATGTTGGAAGAAAATATATCAAGAAGTTTTGTGTACCCCGGGTGGGTGTCGACTGAGCGGAGAGGTAACACTGCCATAACGGCGACGTAGCAGTGCTGTAACAGCCATTCCAAAGCTTCCCTCCTGCCAATCGTGTCCGCATCGAAATGTCCTTTTTGCAAAAGCTGAGGAGCCAGCTGCTCCGCTCCATTGTTTTCTATCACCTGTGGGGGAACTCCATTTTCGCTTCCCTATGCAGGGATATTCTAATCGGAGGAGGGGGAAGTGTGTGTGTGGAGAGGGGGAGTAAAAAAGTAAAAAACACTGTCCCCGCAGATTACTCATCGTTTACGGAATGGGTTGTTTAATTGACAGCGGGCGCTCCCACACAAAAGGGGGTAAGCATATGACGTACGGTAGGTATGAACATACATGTCGTGTATTGCCTCCCTAGGGGTACGACTTTCATGAAAAGTATCACCATGTGAAGAAAAAAAAAAAAAGGAACCACATAAATAATCCCAACGAGGGAAACTTTGCTCGTTTGGTTCGCCTGGGATGGTACTACAGACAGGTGTCAAAATAAAGCGGCTTCTCCATTCTTTTTTTTTTTCCCCTTACATAAGTAAAAGAAATATGGTTTTTAAATTCATACATTAGGGGATTTTTTTTCTTTTTTTTTTTTTTTGCAAAGCTTAATGGGGATCACACCTTTATATTATTTTGTCGCTTCTGTGGCCTAAAAAACGATGCGACTCTATTTTGACCGACCTCGAAATGTAGAAAGGAAGCTTATCATCCGATCCGATGTAACTTCGTCGCCCCGGTGGGAGAGGGGGCATACCGTCACATAATATTGTATGTACCGTGACATTTGTACCTACCATCGCTGGAGTGCATAATAATGCCTTTTGGTTAGTGGCACATGGAGGTTAACAAAAATGAAAAGAAAAAAAAAAAGAAAGAAGTCAATCCATAGGAGCACTGCATATAGATAAATACATAGGTGCCAACAAGCACGTGACACTTTTTTTACCAGCTCATCATGCCCACATGGCCACTTCTTCTACGCAGTGATACTAACGAAGGTGAAACGAAACGTTTGGTACATGAAAATGGAATTAGCCTTGCACGGATTCGATTCTTTGGCGTGAACGCTCGTTGGGCTCTGTTTACTTCCAATTTATTTTTTTTCCCCTTTTTGCGATATCGTACCATTTTATGCATCTTTTTTGCTGACCCACGAACGAGGTAATTTTTTTTTTTTTTTCCCTCTTTTTGGTACATTGACTCTTACGTAACTTTTTCAGTTAACCAGATTATTCCCCTTTTGCGCATCCACTTTGTGGGACCACCATAATATACTGGTTAATCTTTTTAGCAGTTTTTACCTTTCACGCGGTTTTTAATTTCCCCATTTCTGCTTCCCCAAAATGACTGACGTCGAGAGCGTTGACAACGACGTAGTCGTGGAGGAGAAAACCGTTTTCGATCACACCACGGCCATACAGAAGGTAAGAAGAGGAGAAGAAGCAAAAAAGCCAGAGATTGAGAAGAACAAGTATTGTATTGATATGGGGCTGCTTCCGCGGAGATATTATGCGGAGGTGACCGGGCGAACTCGCAAAAATTGGAACCTGCATATATATGTACATATGCACATGGATATGCGTATGGATGTATTTTTTTTTTTTTTTTTTCCCGGTTTCACGTTGGCTGTCCCCTTCTCTCCCCTTTTGGCAGGTTTTGAAGAACGCCCTGGTGCACGATGGGCTGAAAATAGGAATCAGAGAAGTCATCAAATCCATCGAGTCCAAGGAGGCCAAGGCATGCTTCCTGTCAGACGTCTGTTCCGAGCCAGCATACAAAAAATTAATCACAGCTTTGTGTACAGAAAAGAACATCCCTCTCTTTATGGTCGAAAATGATAGCAAGGATTTAGGTCAGTGGGTTGGTTTGTTCAAATTAGACAAGGAAGGGAATGCCAGGAAGATTATTGGCGCGAGTTCCGTTTCGATTATTGACTTTGGCGAAGAATCACCTGAGCGAGATTATTTAATGAAACAGAACCAACAACCCGCCGCAGCTGCTTAAGGGGGGTCGTGTACTTGTCATGGCATTTCCCCTCTTTTTTTTTTTTTTTTTTTTTTTTTGCGCTTCCAACGAATGCGTGTCGCATCTTTGTGTACCACCGCGCGTGCTTTTTCTATAAGGCGGAGATAGTAGCACCCGGTTGGGTAACTTTCTTTTTTTTTTTAACTCTGCACGGATACGTTTAAATGTAATGTGCCGCTATTCGTGCCGCAACGTTGCACACACATAAGGAAATGAAAAAGTGGAAAAGAAAGAACTGTTCTTTTTTTACAACACGTTTAACCAAACAAAAGGGAGTCATTATTGACAAAGGGAGGATGGCCCCAGCGTGAAAGAACTGAACCCACAAAGGGCATATCCGACAAGGGGGCTATTCCACCACTGCAAGAATGCCACGCTGCAATGTCGGCCAATTTTGTCCATCTGCTACAACGCCCCTGAGGGTTCCCCCACTGATGGGAAAAGAAAACCCCCCCACATAGGGACGTTTCCGATTAATATTTTTTGGCAACCCTATTTCATGTTTTCCTCTCGAGCGGAATGCACACGGGCGAAGAAGCCATTTAACACTCCTAAGCACTGACAGACATGTCTATATATTTCCGTTAAAAGTTTTTTCCAATTGGCGTAAGATGCGTTTACTTTTTTTTTTTTTCCTTTTTTCGTTACAGTTAAAATGTGCTGACGGTGTACAGTCTCAACCCGTTTGTGAAAAAAAAAAAAAAAAAAGGTACAACACCAACGGTGTATCCCAAAATGATCCAATGGAGGGGCGCGCGTTAAGGGAGACTCAACACGGGTGGTGTTCAACGCGCTTGTAAAGAGCACACAGTGAATGGGGAATCTCTACGATAACGGGGAGGAACAGGATGGACACTGCAGCGACACACTGTGATGACACTCTCTACGATCTTGGCTTCTCCTTCTTCTCTTTAAACAGGGCTAGCAGGGAAACACGAGCCACTTTCACCACCTTGAATTTCACTCCGGGCAAGTCACCAACAGAGTGACCACTTCGTCCAAACCCTGAGACTAACACCTCATCGTTTTCGTCGATAAAATTTAAGCAACCGTCTCCAGGAACGAAAGCCGTGATTTTCTTTCCGTTCTTAATCAGCTGCACGCGAACACACTTTCGATAGGCCGAGTTGGGCTGCACAAAGGGGATGGTGAGCATTCACATGTGTATAGGAAGAAAACTAGGGGGATGGGGGAGGCTTGTCCTGCTTCTTCTGCTCCTCCATATGGGAAGGGATTCACATAACGGAGTGAACTGAGCCCACCGCTCTGACGACTCCCCAACTGCGGCGGCACAGATTGGCCGCATCGCAATAGACATATAGAAACGTTAACATATTTTTATGCATTGAGAAGTCATAAAAACAGACGAGATGTTAAATTCGATTCCTGATTTTTTTTCTATCCATCTTTTGACTCATCAGCTCGTTGGAGTACTTGGGCTCATGAAACACAAATGGAATGGAGCAGCGGTTCGACGGAGGCCTGCTGGACGTTTTCTTCTCATCGCCATGTGATCCCTCCGCGACGATCCGTTGATGAAGGGGCATTCCCGCAGTGGGGTCTATTTTTTCCTCTTCCCCTTTTTCCCCCTTCTGCAGATTGCTCCCGGGAGGAGGAGACGCTCCTTCTCACCTGCTTGGCCTCAATGGCCACCTTCTCCACGACGATTCCTTTCGCATGGGAACTTCCTCTAAAGGGGTTGGACTTCCATCGGGTACCCAAATGGGATTTCTTGTATCCTTTATCAGCCCATCTCTGGGTTCTCCTTCTTATGCGCAGTTTTCTCGCTGCCCTGAGTCCACTTGGTTTGCCTGATCGGGTGAAAGGAGGCACGCGTGGGGTCGTATGCAAGTTGGGGGGGATAGATATTTATAGGTTTGTACGTATATATGGGCGTATGTATGCACGTATGGATGCACGTATGGCATGCACATATGCCATGTACATATGCAATGCCGAAGCAACCTCCTCCGGTTAACTGCTTGACTGCTGTTTCTCTCCCTCCAATTCTTCCCTTCAGTTACTCCCAATCACAGGCATGGGGATGCAAGTTCCACTTTTGGAAGCATACAACAGCAGACATACGGGAGGCGAGGATAAAATGAACGCGAAGCACAGCAGGCATGTCACATATTGTGACATACGAAATGACGTACCTGATCCCATGTTGACTTAAGATGATTCTTAAAATAGGTAAAGAGCAGTAGGAATTATATCTTTCAAAGTTGTTGCAAAAAAAAAAAATTCACTTTCTTCTATTTGTTCTCACTTTTTTTTTTTTTTTCCTTTTTCACAAAAAGAAGTTAAACTTTGGGGAAGGAAAACAAATTAATTAAAATATGTATTCGCAAAGGTTTTGCATATCTACAAATATTCTTGGTGGAGTTTTTTTTTTTTTTTCAACTGAGCGTGACTTTTTCCGGTTGGGTAACCTCTGGGTACCAATCCGAGGGGGAATGTCGAATGGGCCGAATGGCGGGAATAAGCAGCAAGTGGAAGATGGCATCACTCCGCCACCACCCCCCACTAAAGTAAGTCTCCCCTCATTTGGATGATGTATATAATGTGCCTAATATAGCTGCATATTACATTGTGGGCGCAGAGATTCACCTTGTATGTATGGCGCTCTTTATTTCCGTCCGATCGAGGCCGCAAACCAAACAAGGGGGAAGCTACCCCATCTCATGCGTGGTGCACTTGGGGGAAGAAAAATGAGCCAGAAAAAAAAAGAAACAAAAAAAAAAAAAAAAATAGGCGCGTTAAGTGGTCCGAGGGGGTAAAAAAAGATTGCTTTTTTTTCTTCTCGATTGGTCAGCTTACATGGATCCTTGTTGCCTCCTACGTGAGAACTACCATACCTTTCGCAATAGTGCGTGTGGGAACGCAGTGTCTTCGTCATCCCACGTAAGCGGCACATATATATATGTTTATACGGGCGAGTGCTTAATTTTTTTTCTCCATTTGGCTTCTCACTCGTTTGAGGTGAAAAGAAAGAAAAAAGGCTCCTCCAATTGGGGCTACATGTTTTTTCTGAGAAGGCTTACCTGAGTGTATGCCACGTTTAGCACCTTTTCCACGTTTACCACCTTTTCCACGTTTGCCGCTTGTGCCGTGGTCCCTGTGGTGGAATGTTCCTGAGGGGGAATCGCCCCATGTTTTGTCCCCAATCAGATGCCTCTCCTCTTCCCCAGGTTGGAGTTTTACCGCAATGCGCCCCCATCCATTTGTGCATACCGATATAAGAACATTGGGGAAGATCGTCATGAGCCATCGTCATGACCCCTCTTCACGTGGTGGAAAAAGGTGCCCTGCCTTCTTTGGCACATGTGCGTTCCCGTCATTTGCAGAAAAATTGCAAAATGGTGGATCATGAGGAAAAGGCATTCTGCTCAGGTAAATGGATAATTAAGAGCGGCAATCCTCCACACGATGTGTTCCGTATTGATGTAGGTTGAGATGATACACTTGTCCAATTGCCAAGAGTGGTACAACCCCCCTACACCCCTCTATGGTTTTCCGATTCCCCGGTTCCCCTCGCAACAGCGTGTGTAGCTTCACTCGCTTCTCCATTAAAGTACGTTCGCAAGGTTTTCTCGCCGGGAAGAAGTACAAAAATGGAACGTACACCATTGGGGACAGTCACATTGTTCTTTTTTTTTTTTTTTTTTTTTTTTTTTTTTTTTTTTTTTTTTTTCTTTTTCTTTTTTCGCCTTGTGAGTTGGAGTTCCACAAGGTTGTTCCGTTCCTGTTCCGCTCCGATAAGAATGGTGGGACGCACGAGAGGGAACGCTCATGTGTGGTCGTTTTGCCCCCTCCGAAAGAGGACCTTCCGTTTGGTGCTAAAAACATAACGTTAAGTCACCACCTTGCACAAAGGTGAACACAGATGATTGGATGCCACATAGGAGGAAGCGAAGTGGAAACGCTGCTCAGTCATGTTTATAACCCCAGCGCGACATAAGGTGTGGGGGAAAGGCGGGACAAAGGAATAACCCCAAAAAGGGGACCACCAAACCGAGGTAATATGCACCGTTGGGGTGACTGGACCCGCATGTGCACGTATCTGGATAGGTATGCTCGGGCGTCTGCTTCTTGCCTTGTAGGGACGAGGAAGGACACGTAAGGAAGCGGCCAAGCAGCGAAGCAGCCAAGTGCACAAAGGTGTTGGAAAAAAAACAAAAAAAAAGGGGGGCTTATGTCGTCCTTGCAAGAGGAAAAAAAAAAAAAAAGGAGTACCGCTCTCTCCCCGACCTACATAAAAAACAATGTACGGGCAATGTGGGCATACAGAATTAGGGTGAACTTTCTTTTTTTGCCACTTCCTTGATGACTGCTGTTAGTGGTCTCCCTATGCAAGTTGCGCAAAAAAAAAGAAAAAAAAAACGCTGCTTCCCATTTGGTTCCTTTTTTGTTAATTTTGGTTTACTTCCCCCTTTTTTGTATTGACCCTATAGGTTGTATTTTTTGATGGGCCTCATTTTTCCTTCCCATTTTTTTTTTTTTTTTTTTTCATCCTACAAGTAGCAGTTAATTGAACACCTTTGTCGAGCCGACTTCGCCGCGCGGAGCTGCTTCATCGACACGTGGGTAGGAGCATATCTTTCTACATCCCGTGGCCAAGGTAGGTCCATGCAGTGTGAGTAATTAGCGACTAGCTGCACGGTGTAACTGCGTACACCATCGCAAGTTGTATACACCGCCGCTAACCCCCTACACCGCCTGTCCCCAGATGAATACCATCGTGCCAGACGTGCTGAAGCAGGGGGCACAGGAGGACAAGGGCGAAATCGCGAGGCTGCAGTACTTCGTGGGGGCCATCGCCGTGGGAGACTTGGTGAAAAGTACGCTGGGGCCGAGAGGGCTGGACAAAATACTCACCCCCTTGAATATAGAAGGCGCGAGAAGTCACCAACACACAGTGACGAATGACGGAGCGACGATTCTCAAGTCAGTATGGTTGGATAATCCAGTGAGCAAAATATTGGTGGATGTCAGCATGCAGCAGGATAACAAATGTGGAGACGGAACTACCGGTGTTGTCGTCCTCGCAGCAGAGATGCTTAGGAATGCCGAAATTTTAATTGAGAATAAAATACACCCCCAGATTATCTGTGATGGATTTCGCATGGCACTTCAGGCAGCTAGAGACGCGTTGGAAAAGTCCTGTTTCAGTCACGACGTTAATTCGGATCAGTTTAAAGAGGACATGCTAAAAATTGCGAGGACGACTCTCTCCTCCAAACTGTTAACCCATGAGAAGGAACATTTCTCCCAGCTAGCCGTAAATGCAATCCTACGAATAAAGGAAAACCTAAACCTAGATCTCATTCAAACGATAAAGAAAACTGGAGGGACGATCAAAGATTCCTACTTAGAAGATGGATTCATATTAGAAAAGAGAATTGGCATCAATCAACCGAAGAGTCTCACAAAATGTAACGTCATGATAGCGAACACACCGATGGATACAGACAAGGTGAAGATCTATGGGACCAAAGTAAACGTAAACAGTTTCGAAGACATACAAGATTTGGAAAATGAAGAAAAATTGAAAATGAAAAAAAAGGTCGAAAATATTATTGCACATGGGTGTAACGTTTTTATTAATAGACAACTGATTTATAATTATCCTGAGCAGATTTTTCGAGAGAATAACGTGATGACAATTGAACACAGCGATTTCGATGGCATGGAAAGATTGGCTAGCTGTTTAGGAGCAGAAATTGCCTCCACTTTTGAGAAAGATCTGAATATCAAGCTAGGTTATTGCGAAAAAATTGAAGAAGTCATCATAGGGGAGGATAAATTAATTCGATTTTCTGGCTGCAAAAAGAATGGAGCGTGTACAATCATTTTGAGAGGTGCCTCTTCACACATTCTGGAGGAGAGTGAAAGGTCGCTACATGACGCGCTTGCCGTTTTAGCAGAAACGATGAAAGACAATCGAGTCGTCCTTGGAGCCGGATGTACAGAAATGCTCATGAGTAACGCTGTGGATAATTTAGCCAGAACCGTAGAGGGCAAGCGCAGCTTGGCTATAGAAGCCTTTGCAAAGGCTCTCAGACAGATCCCCACATATATACTGGACAACGGAGGGTTTGACAGCTCAGAAATAGTGAGCAAGATAAGAGCGCAACATACTAAGGGAAATGTCTACGCCGGCATCGATATCAACAATGGAGATGTCGGCAATGTGATGGAGCTCGGCATTTATGAGTCTTACAAATCAAAGTTATCTCAGCTGACCTCCGCCACGGAGGCGGTCGAGATGATTCTGCGTGTGGACGACATTATTAAGTGCGCCCCTCGCAAGAGGGGCGGCGTGTAGCCCGTCCAACACATACCCTGGCGCATATATACGTGTGCAGGTTTCTGCTAATTTCGTTATTCCATCTCTCCTCTTTTATCACCCTTTTTTTCCCATTTCTCTTTTTTTTTCTTTCACTTTATGCGTGCTTACGCCGTTGTTAACTAGCCATATTGGTCCAGTTGTGCAGACGAAAAAAAAAAAAAAAAAAAAAAAACAGTAAGGGCAATGTAAGGTAAACTTGGGCATACGTACATACATATGATCATCGGGTCAGGAGCACTTGGGCGGTGTGCGCAGAGCTATCCAGCGGGGCTCCATTCGCTTTCTTGGCGCCCCCCTCAAATGGACTTGAGGAGAAAATCCTTCGCGTAACTTTTGATGAAGAACTTTCTGTTGAAGCAGGGGCGGTAGCTCTTCCGTGCATGGTTCTTATCCCAGTGGCTGCGGCGGGGGGGAGAGACAAAGTGGGGGTTAACACGATTAGCAGTGGTTAGCACCGGATGAGGGGTAAAAGAAAGATGAAGACGCTCACGCCGCTCAGACGCCGCTCAGACGCCGCTCAGACGCCGCTCCGACGATGCTTACAAATTGTCGAAGCTGGTGGGCTCTTCCCTGATGTGCTTGAAGTTGTGGAAGAGTCTGCTTCCGCCGTACATGGTCACCAGGGCACAAAGCACGATTTGCGCAACGAGCTGCAATAGGGGGAGGGGATAGGCAAAGACACTTAGGAAATGGAAAGCCGTGCACACGTAGGTTCGTAGGTAGGTAGATAAGGAGACGCCCCATTCTACGTTGCGCCCACGCAGGGAGACACACCAGAGGGATGCCTGCCTCCCCCTTGACTACTCACCGTGTATGGTATGGTGAAGTGATCAATGCTGTCATTTTCCAACTTGAAGGCGCTAAGGACTGCGGGGATGGGGGGGTGAAAAAGTCTCAGTCACTAACATGAGCGAAGTTAATCTGAGAGAGCTTCTGCGTCGTGGGATGTACATACATAGGCCGCTGTTGTTGTGGAAGACTTACGCAGGTAAACCGAGTGCCCACTCTTCACAAGGGACGCTAAGCCTATGAGCGTGATCGAAACGGAGAGTCCCCCTATCATTTTCTCCTCCACGTCAGATGAAAACTGTTCCGGAGTTATATACCCGAACGTCGTTCTCCCTTATGCCCTTCCCAGCAGTGTTAAGTGGATAGTTCTTTTATTTTTGTTCCTTTGGGAGGCGTTTCCCCTCCGTAAATGTATATATCATCTCATTGGTGGAACTACTACCTCTGCATTTATGCACTTGACACAAATGCGCCAGCTATATGTCACTGCTCTGTTCGTTGGATTTCGTTACATTTCGTTCGATTTTGTTGCATTTCCTTCCCCTACATCGGAGGAAGTTCTCAAAATGGGTAATAAGTCCCCCTGGAGAAGCCGCTGTCGAATGAACGTCCACACGGAGGCGCAGCGAGAAATGTCAAGCGGAAAAAAAGGGGTGCCAACAAGTTGCCTTCAAACCAGGGAAAACAAAAAAAAAAAAAAGGAACCAACTGGGTTGAAGCGTTATATCCCTGGGCAGTCCTCCAGTAGCCTTTGCAAGTATTGTAGTTTATGGGAAAATTTGGCTGTCCCTTTGGCGAAAAAAAAAAAAAAAAAAAAGTAATACTGGAAATCCTCTTTTTTTTTTTTTTTCTTTTTCTTTTTCGCGTCCATCGATTTGCTCCAAAAATGGAGGAAGCGTCATTTCACTGAGGGTGTGACAAAAGGATGTTAAGATCAAGCGGTTGTTTACACGAAGCCGTTGTTTACTTTTTCGTAACAGGTTCGTTTTTTTTTTCGCCCATCTGTTTTTTATTCTGAACGGTATGCAACTTGTACTGTGCGTGGTCAGCAGCCAGGTGGCGAAACATACGCGTGTTAGCAAAGAACATTTTTGGCTCTGTTCTGAAGCCTAATCAGGGAAAAAAGAGTAACTTCGCTTTTGTTACCTGGTTGTTTGTCCACCCAAGCAACCGCGCGGTGGCACATGTTGAATGGTTACGCTAACCAGAAAGGGATTACCCACATGGATGTCACACTGTCGGGTAAGGCCCCCATATTCTCCTGGACCTGCTTCGCCCGGTGCTCCAAAAAAAATCATTTCTCTTTTTTTCATTTTTCTCAACTATGCTGGTTAGTCCCTCCTTTGCTACGCGCACGGGTAGGTAGAAGGGTGAACCTTCGCGTGTGTCTAGGTGGGGCAAGTTGCACCCATGGGCCCAGGGGTGGGTCAAAGGACGCACATACAGAAGGGAATTTCCATGGGAAAAAAAAAAAGATAAAAATAAAGCGATCAAAATGAGCAGAAGGAATGGAACGGAGTGGCTACTGCAATTCGACCCAATGAACGCCTGTCAGGCGGCACATTTCTGCGCGGCACCCATGGCACACACAAAAAGAAAAAAAGGCTCGCTATATAGAGGCACGGATAATATGCAAATGTGGTTGGGGGCGCAAAAAAAAAAAGAAGAAAGAAAGAAAGGAGACCTTGTACAGTCCATGTGTGATGGAATTGTTCTGTCCAAACTTCTCATCGGGGGTAACCTCCATATGCATGTGGCCGCTCATACATTGTCCATTCATTCCTTTGGCTCATCGAAAGAGTAGCTGCGGATCCATCACGTCGAAGCAGTACTATACTTGGAACCCCCCCTAGAAGGGTGTGCCGAAGAGCCAATTCCTGTTCTTGCTGTATTTGCGAGTTCGGCCCATTTTGTTGATCTGCTCATTCTGCAAATTAATCCTGTTGTGGGGGTAGAATATTTCTTCATTCTGCAGTGTGTTCAGCTTGATCTCGTTCATCAGCACGTGGAAGTTGTTCCGTACGTTGACGAAGAAGATGGCTGGCAGCTGCGGCAGGTCCAGCATCAACGTCAGGTTGGCGAAGGCCAGTCCTGGGGCCGACGTCATTTTGGCACGCGCGGGGAAACGATAGGAAAAGAAAAGAGGCGGAAAAGGGGTAAAAAAAAGCAAAAGAAACAACTTCTTCCACTGTGTACACCTTATCCGTTTGTATCTTCCAGCTAGTGGACTATACTCAGTGGTTCTCTTTGGTGTGGCGTTTGTTGGCAAGGGGGCGCATACTCGAGGAGGAGTTGCTTCCTCGCGGCTGCTTCGTCAGGGCTGCTTTGTCATCGCTTATTAGTGATATCCCTTTGGGTGTTTTGTGTAAACATCGTCGCTTGGGGGGAAGGTCGCGCATGGCAAATTGTGCTTTCTGCGTTGCACTTCGTGAGGATAACTAGGTGAACATTCCTGGGTGAAGAAAATTTCGCGGAGGTTAACGCCACGCACGCTTCCTAGGCTCTCCCCTCCCCGGAATACACTGCTTCGACAATTTTTTGTTCCCATTTGGTAACCACCAATGTGCGTATTGCGTATGCATTTGAAAAAAAAAAAAAAAAATCCTTCGGAATTCTTTGCTCACCATATTTTACGAGGTATGATAAAAGCTAGGACGAGGAAAGCGCAGAAGAAAATCGTCGCTGTGTTGAATTCATACCGCCACCCTGGCTGGCCGATCTGGCAGCGTAACGGGAGAAGCCAGTAGGAACTAACGACAAGAAGTTGCGACAGGGAGTAACGGAACGAAATAGAGACAGGAAGTTGTGACAGATAGTAGCGACATAAGATAGCGGGGACGAAGCGGAGCAAAGTTTCCTTCATCTTATGTGCTTGCCTCCCAGGAGAGTGTCCCCCCCGAAAAAAAAAAAAAAAGGAGGAACACCTGGCTGATGAGGTGAAAATTGCGAAAAGGGACGCAACACATGTCACTTCTCCGGGGAAGCACAATAAGCGTAGAGTATCTCATCTGGAGGGACGGTCACATGTGTATATAAAAAGAAAGGAAGAAAAAAAAAGAAAACAAAAATAACAGCCAGGTGTATTGCCCTCCCCAGCGTGGAAGACAAAATGATGTACCCCCGCACCGGTGACCTCATTAGGAATCACCTCGCCAAATCGGTTAGGGCATTTAAAGGGGAAGGCCCCTTTACCCAGAAGAACTTATGGAACGTGTGGACGCGGAAGTATAGCACCGGGGTGTACCCCCGGGTGGGGGGGAATTATGTTGGAGGGATTCCCGGATGGACGGGCTTCACGAGTGGCAACCGCGTTAGTAGCACCCGCGTTAGTAGCAGCCTCGCTAGTGGAAGCCTCTCTACAACCCACCGCAGAGGCATAACGAGCTGCACCCCCCCACACTGGGGAAGGGAAACCAACGACGAGAGCTTCTTCGAAGGGGAACACCTGAACAGAAAGTTAGGAGGCTACGGATACCCAATGATGTTCATCGTCACCTACGATCGACCCAGTTGGCAACCATTCTGGGAAAACGAATACGAGGTCATCCCAAGAGACGAATTCGGAGTCCCTGCCAGCATCCCCCCAGAAGTCTCCACACAGATTAAGCACACCTACTATGTGCCTCCACAGTTCTATACCTTCCTCAAAAAATTAGGAGATGACACGGAAGAGCTAAAGCCCTATATGAACAAACTCATTCGAGGTGAATTCACCTACGATGACTACCAAGAGATGTTTTATAAATTTGCAAAACCGCTAAAAATCTTTAGGAGCAATATTCCCTTGCCGTATAGGACTGCAGAGGAGATGGCGAAGGAGGAGGAAATGAAGTGGGAGTCTGCTTGGTATACCTACCGACAGAAGATGCTAGCGGAGTATAACGTAACTATGTGCTTGCGTGAATTCATCCTCTACATGACCATCGGTCTGTACTTTGCCTACTTGTGGCTGGACGCGCTGAGGCAGTACCGCCTGGACATGAAGCTTTTCTATTTGGAGGCCCCCGAACACAAGATCAACTGGGTCAAGCCACGCGGAGACTTGGTCTGATAAGCAGGCGGAGGGTACAGCGGTGCAGAGGCACAGTTCTCCACGTGTGCACCATCTTTGCTTTGCCTCTGCTCCACCTTTGCTCCCTCTCTTGCCGGCGAGGCTGCCCCCGTGTCCGCAGCAGCCATATATAAACGTTTATTTCCTGAGCACTTGGTTTTCAACCGATTCGTTTTTCTTTTCTTCCCCCGTGGGTATTTGGAGCCATGGGGGGGAGGGGTTCCAAAAAAGAAGGTTTTTTTTCCCCTTTTTTTTTCTAACTTTTTTATCTTTTTTATCACCCCGCAGCGGTAAAGAATGTCGTTGAATCTTCTAAAAATGGAGGTGTAGCTCAGTCCCGGGATGGGGCCCTGAATATATTCCACCGCAGGTGTGTGTGTGTGTGGGGGGGGGGGGATCAAATTAGCTTCTTCGTACCAGCGTGGAGTGCTGTTAGGTGTAGACATCTTTGTGGGGTCAACCCGAGGGACGCGTTTTCCAAAGAGTCTCTCCCGTAGTGTAAAAACGGGCCATTTCGATGACGCGATTGGTGCGGCGCTGTGGCTGTGTTGTTACCGCGTCGTTGCCGCTATTCCAGCTTCTCACTCGAGGGAGAGCGATCGGACGTAGATCTTGGCGTCCTCGATGTTGCTGTTCATTTGGTCGCGGCTCCAACCCAACTCGTGCTTCATGAGGCTGGCAATTTTGGAGATGACTTTCCCCGACATGGCGGAGTCGACGAACCCCAGTCGGAATCGTCTCCCAATGATATCGGAAATGGTGGAGGCGAATTCGTATCTGCTGGCATAGACCACTTCCGCTTCGATGTATGGTTTGGATGGATCAATTTTGCTAAACAGATTCAGCTCCGTAGCGAGTTCGCAGACCTTCTCTGCGAGGTAGCCATAGTTAGACACCAGATGATGAGCAGTGTCGTAATCTATTTGGCTGTATTTCTGGACCAGCTTCTTGCTCAGCTTACTACTGCCATAGGTTAAATCGTCCACGTCGTGTTTTCCTTGTTCGTCATGACTACCAACAAGCATGAGAAACTTCGTCCTGCATTTATACTTGCTCTTAATCTTATTGGAGTGTTTCTTCGCTATGTAGTCCAGAGTATCCTGGGCCATCTTCCTATATATCGTCCACTTGCCTCCTAAAATGCTAATAAGCCCATTCTCATCTTCTATAATCTCATGGCTCCTCGAGATTTTGTGTGTCGCGACCGTTTCGGTGGTGGTGTGGTGGTCTTCTTTGGCTTCACTTTTCTGAGTTCCCTTCTTACTGACCGTCTTCTTCTTCTTCTTGGTGTCCATGACTAACGGTCTGAAGCCACACCAAGCAGCTTTGATGTCCTTCTTAATTTCCTCAGCATCTACGTTGATATATTTAGCCAATTCGCTAGCCAAGAAGTCTGCGTCTTTTTTCTGAATCTGTGGGTTCTCTTGCAGCTGTCTCTGCTCATCAGTCGTCCCAACGATGGTAGCATTTTCCCAAGGCAAGAGAAAAAGGACTCTCCCATCACTTGTCTTAGGTATGATGATTCCATTATTTTTGGAGGAATACCATTTGGGGAGGATGAAATGACATCCTGAGGAGGTCTGTATAACTGGAGTGACATTTTCATCGGCCAGTTTTCTCACCACATCGCCATGTGGTCCTGTAGCGTTCACGATGACATTGGCGAATATCTCGATTTCCTTATTGCTAATTCGGTCTAATGCCCTCACTCCGACGATTTTCTTCCCATCATCATCCTTTATGAAGCCCATCACTTCCATATGATTGCACACAGTGGCTCCCACTTGTCCGGGGACATAATTCTCCATCGCGCTCGTCAGAATGAGGTTCAGATTCATCCGGCTGTCATTATGCTGCCCGTCATAATAGACTAGCGACCCTTTCAGTTGTTCCTTCTTAAGCAGGGGAAAACCATCCACCGTGTTTGAGTGCCGGATGTAATTTGAGTTAGGCACCCCTTTATCGAAGTAGCATACCAAATCGGCCAACAGATCGTATATCTTTATGTTGTATGCGAAGTAGGGGACCTGCCAATACTGATAAATAGGCATAATAATCGGTACTGACCTGGACATGAATGGAGCGATCTTCATCGCATGAGCTCTTTCTCCTAATGCCTCCCATACGAAATATAACTCTGTGGGGTCAAAATTTTTTACCGCATTTTCTAGATAGCGTATCCCTCCATGTAGAAGCTTCGTCGATTTAGAGGACGTGCCACTTGAAAAGTCCCCCTTGTCTATTAAGGCACACTTTATTCCCCTCGTGGCGCAATCCAGGGCTAATCCGCCGCCAGTGGCCCCTCCCCCGATGATTAGCACGTCGTACTGATTTTTCTTCAGCCGGCTAATCATCTCGTTGCGGCTACTCACGGGGCTGTACTTGTATACCACATCCCCGTCAATCATATTCTTGTGAAAGTTCACCTTCAGCAGGTACACCCCCCCCGCCCCGATGATTCCGAGGCCGCCGGACGCGGCGAGAGCCTTCTTCAGCATCGGTTCGCGGTGGAGGTGGAGAGGTGAGCGGTTGCACTGGTTAGCGTTAGCGGTCACACTGATGGATGATCGCCTGATACTGCACTGCCGCTCGTGCTCCTTTGCGTAGCCACATTCGACTAGTCCACCCTCCTAGCAGGGAAGCTGCGCTCAGGCGGTCACAAACGGGGGACACAGTTTCCTTAGAAGCTTTTCCCGTCACAGTGGGGCTCACGAAGGAGCGCACAAAATGAACAGCCGCCTGGGACCAATTAGACACACAGGGGATGTCTATCGCATGGATGTATGCATTCCTTCCTAGATAGGGCAAAGGAAGGAGTTGTTCCCAAGAGACTTATTTCGCTGATGCTTCAGTGGGGGGAAGAAAAAAAAAAAAAAAAA